GCTATAAACATGGGTGCACATACTTCTCTGTGATATGATTCTTTTAGTTCTCTTGGAAAGATACCCAGCAGAGGGATGGCTGGGTCAAATGGAACCTCCAGTCCAAGCTCTTTGAGGTATCTCCATATTGATTTCCATAGTGGTTGCACTAGTCTGCACTCCCACCAACAATGGAGGAGGGTTCCTTTCTCCCCACAACCCCACCAACATTTGTTATTTTGTGATTTCTTGATAGCAACCATTCTTTGTGGGGTGAGGTGGAATCTCAGTGTTGTTTTCATCTGCATCTCTCGAATGACCAGTGATGTGGAACATTTTTTCAAATATTTACTTGCTGCTTTTACTTCTTTGTCTGAGAAATGTCTGTTCATTTCGGATGTCCATTTTTGAATCGGGTCTTTATAGTTGGGGGTGTTTGTACATTTTTTTATAAAATCTCTAGAGTAATTTCAGGATGAAAGCATTTACAATACTTTTTCATAGTAATTTCAAGTCTTCTAGTTGTTTAACTTAAATACAGTGTTTGCTATTTTATTTTTCATAGAATATTAAGAGTTTTACCTTGCACATCTAGTTCTTTGTTTCTAAAATTAGGAAAAAGCAAGCCATCTTCCCACAAGTCTCCATTTTGAACCTCTGCAGTATCTAGGTAACAAGAATAAGGTATAGGAGCATGTATTTTCCATGCTGATGTATGGAAGTCTGGGCCTGGCTGGTTGCTTGATTCTAGGTCTGCTGTGCTCTTTGGCATCACCACCTTGTACCCCAGCAACCTAGAGGTTGCCTTGATAATGCAAGGAGGCCTGAATGGACATACCACAGTCTCCCCTGGGGAAGGACCTATGTTCTGCCTCTACATTCACCTGGCTCTGACAGGTGAACCTTTCTCATCAGAGCTGTCATTATTAGTTATTTGAATGATGGTTTACAAATTCATTTGTATAATGTGGAATATAGCAAGAGCTAATATATTAGTATTTGCTGTGTTTTGGAAACTGTTCTGTTTTCCATGTAATACTTTTTATTGTCAGGAGAAAGCTCATAAGATAGGTACCATGAATACCATTTTACAGGTGAGAAATTTTTATCTGGAAAAGTGTTTTAGAGGAATAGGGGAATGATGGTTTAGCCCATTAAAAAAGATAAGGGAACTTTTCTAAATGGAATTTTCAAGCATATATATAAAGAAAAAGGACTTAAAATTTAAACAATCCAAGAAAAGAAGTAAGGTTTTGGTCTTTGTTTCTGAGACTTACAAGACACTTTTGATTTTAATATTTCCTTTGGCCAGACAAAATATAACGGTGAAACCTAAATATTAAACCAGTTATAAAAAGTTAAGTGGGAGAGATTTATGTTTTTGAAGCTCAAAGTGAAGCTTTTGATAGGAAAACAAAAGTCATGGTATTTTACTAATCAGTACTTTTGAATTCTTCCTTTTCAGATGTGTATTTTCTACTACCATTCTTTACCTCATGCCTAGATAACACAATAATCCTTTAGTCCTGTTTTGCTTTATAGTCTGTCTTGAGCCTATTGAGAAATGAAGTTAAAATATAGAACATGACATTTCCATACCTTATTAATACTTTTGATTTTTATTGAATAAGTTTATTTAAAATTAGATGAATGTTTGTTTAGAGGCAAAAATCTTTAGAGACTTTAACTTTTAGCAGCTTCTCTCTACCTACTTTATAAAAATATAAACATACCAAAATCCAATTCTAGCTAAGTTAAAACAAAAGCATCTATATTAGGATATTTAGAACCTACAGGAGGGTAGAAATGTAGGCTTTGGAATGGACGGAAACAAAACCTTACAGAGGCCAGGAAGCAGAAGCTGCAGCAGCAGTCTTGTAGCAAAGGGCAGTCTTGTTAGTCTTGCATCTGCTAGAACGGCATCACAAGTCGCATTCAGTATTTTTAGCCTTCTCAAGATTTCACTTCCACAGACGGCACATCTGCTTGCCCTTGTTGCTTTGTTTACCCTCCCCTGATAGGAGAAACATTCGTAGTTTGGAGTTGTTTTTTCGTCAAATTTGACATTTCATTAGATAGAAGTCTTAAATCCCAGGGAGCAGTGCAGAGATTTTTGGACTGTGGTTGGAAGCCAGCTCATCCACAACAATGGAATGAACTATAAAATTTCTCTCTACTCTGTTAGAACAGACAATAGATTCATTAAAAGACTTCTTGTACATGTCATATATCTTACTAATGTAGAATTTTGTGCTTTAGTACATTCCTTTTAAATACTGGCTGTTTCACAAACTTATCCCATGCACCCATACTGTTTTTACCCCTCAAGTATTCATATTTACATCATTATTCAATAGTTGCTTTGTTTGTATCCCCACCCTGTGGCATAGACTAGATATGATATGGGATTTTTTGTGTATTAAGTAGACTTGTAAACATGTTTAGTGGTTTCATGTGGCATACTTTTATAGTTTCACATGTTTTGCTCCAATTCATCATGACTAGGTTTTCTTGTTTTCCTATATTTCTAAGCCTGAGTAACATGAACATCACTCTTAGTTTCTTTGGATTGACTATGTGCCTCAGACGGAGTAATTATCAAAATGAAAAGTAAAAACCACATCAAATTGTATGTCAAAGAATAATAAATTACCTTTCTATCTCACCCTCCTAATCACAGTTGGAAAAATTGTAAGAGATGCTAGAGTGGAATTCTGGCACTTCACAGTACACCCTTCCCTGAGAAACTAGAAACTGTTTTTCTGCCAAGTTAACTAATATTTAGTTTCTGGAGATCAGGTGTGTCTTCCCACCTTGACTCTGACCTAAATACTGATAAACTATATTCCACACACTAATGTTTTGGTATAAGTAATAGATTACTTTCAGAGTTGTCTTCCCATTTCTTTGCTGTTCTAAAATTATCTCTTCTTTCTGTTTTCTTCTGTTTTGATGATTAAGTACTTTCCAAAAAGATGATAAATACAAGTAGAAAAGGTAAAGAAGTAAACATTTAAGTGTAAAATCTGTTTTCCCTTTGACTCATAATCATAACTCCTATAATTGCCTAAAATTGCAGTAAGTTGAAAAAAAGTTAACTTTAAAAAACTATTTATAAAAAAATTAACTATGTTATAGTGAAAATATGGTGACAGCCTACAGTTGTAGTAGTAGAGTACCGATTAAATTATAAACAAAGAAATATTATGCAGTCATTAAAAATAAGAGTATAGTTTTATGTTTATTGATTTGCAAGGATGTTTGTGATATGAAATGTCAGTGCCATATTATTTAATGAAAAACAAATTGCAGAACAGCATCACACGTTGCCATTTGTGTAAAGTTGTATGCTTATGTGTATGTATTCATGAAATCATGCTATTTAATTCTCATTACTTATAATTATGGCTCTTGAATTACTTTTTTGGTTGTTTGTTTTCTTGATATCTTTAGCACATGTCTTATTAGCATTTCTTTTTTGTTTTTTTTGAGACAGGGTCTCATTATGTACTTGAGACTGCTCTGGAACTCACTATGTAGCCCAGGCTGGTCTCAAACTCACAGTGATCCTCCTGCTTCAGGCTCCTTCCCCCACCCCCGTATTGGGATTACAGGCGTGCACCACCACGCCCGGCCTTATTAGCATTTCTACCTTAACTTGTATATTTTCTGATATTAGTTGTAGTTTTAAAGGTTATTTGTATAGGGCCGGAAGTTAGCTCAGCAGTTCCGCCTCCTGCCTTGCAAGCACAAGGACCCGAGTTCGATTCCTGGTACCAAAAAAAAACAAAGATTATTTGTATAACACATAGCCTTTTCTTTGGAAATACTCTGAGTTTTATTCCTTGAATGTGAAATAGATATCAGCTAGTTTATATAACAAATCATTTTCTGTTCTTTTCAGGTGTAGAGTTTGGTGCTCGAATGATAACAATTGATGGAAAACAGATAAAACTCCAGATCTGGGACACTGTAAGTATAACCAAAGAATATATGATCTGTAAAGTTGTTTTGTAAAAGTATATTTTATGCGTACTTTGGTTAATGTTACTTTATGCCTGTTACAGTTTTTAAACACTAAAATCCTACAGCCATGAAATGAAATGTAAGTATATACTAGACAAGAATGATTTCCTTTAGCAGTGATTTCAGCAGGTGTGCCCCCAGGTGGTGGGTGTTGGTGAACACACCTGAGTGAATGCACAGACTATGTTAAATGCAAGTAGCCTGGAAATTATATACTTATGAAGTAAAATAAGCATATCTGATTTAAGTTTGATTTGATCCAATCACTTGAAACTACCTTGCTCCTAATTCAGTATCCTAATTCTGTCATATACTCCTGTTTATTGAGTACCTAGTACTTGCCATGCTGTATAGTTTTTAGTATTCGTCTGAACTACAGAATATGAAAAATGACATTTTTCTCTCTTCCATTTTAGATGCATTAAAAAAATATGGAATTACTTTACTGTATCAATGGATATGTTAACATAGCAGATTTCAAACTTGGTAGTTTCAGAATCTTTTTGTACTTACTAAGGGCCCCAAAGAGCTTTAGCTTATGTGATTTACAGCTACTTATATTTACTGTATCAAAAATTAAAACTGAGAAGTTGATAGATACTCAATCATTTAATTTTTTGTTGTTGTTGGTTTTTTTCAGTGCTGGGGATGGAACCCAGAGCCTCACATACACTAGTCAGGTGCCCTACCAATAAACTATATCTTCATCCCAATTCATTTTATAATAATGATAATAAGTTTACTACTTTTAAAAATAATCTATAAGGTAAACACTGCAACTGTTATGGAAGAAAATCAACTAAAAGCATGTAAGACTCATTTGTCCATTGTAGTAACTACTGTAGGAAGGAATTATGAAGAATATCTTCTCACAGACAGGATTTTAAAGACCAAGCTAGTTATTAAAAGCTGTTGTAAAACCTCTAGGTTTCCTGATTACTTCCTGTGTATCCCACAGCAGTCCCTTAAATATAAATCCTACATCCTATCCTGACCTATCCTTCAGTAATCAGAACTCTTAAGTTCTTGTACTTTCTGACTTCCTCTTTAGTATAAAGATTCACACTTTTACTCTTTCTTAAGGATTTCCTCTCTGAACCGATAGCATCTCAAAACTTTTGATTTACATTCTTTCAGATAACATGATTTCAAAATAACATGGAAATAAGAATAAAAATACACAGTTTTTTCTCTCCTAGAGGTTTAAGATTAAGAATCAGTATTAGTGCCTCTCCCTCAAAGCACCTTCCCCCAAGGCCTGGTGATGGGTGGGTAACTTTTTGTTTTGAATAAAAAGCCAACACCAAATGGGTCTACTAGAATAATTCAGCAAACAAACAGAAGTTTTACTCTGGTAGAAGGAGCACAAAGGAAGTCTGTACTGTATTCCCTAGCCAGCTTTTACCTGCTCTGTCCTACACTTACTCATCTTTGACCTTCATTTCGCTCACTTGCCTTCCCAACATGTTCAAATAAATTTAACACATTCGCATGTACTCCTGCACACATGCATACAGGTAGTATGGATGTTTTAGTTAGGTACATATATATGCTCAATTCCCCTATCACAATTGGTTATTTTAGATTTACAGATATTTGTTCTATAAAATAAACAATTGATGTGGAAACTCTCTAAGAGTTCCTCCTCAGCCAGTTGTAGGCATCTTTTGTTCTTTGAAAAATGTGTCTAGACTTCTTATCAAATAACTAAATATTATTTTGTTTCAACATAACAGTAAGGACCTAATGCAGTAGGGCTAGAGAAGAGCCTGGAACTGAGGGCTAGGAAACAATCTTACCTCCCTTTCTGCCTCTCCTCTCTACTCGGGACATACCTCCCCTACCCTCCTTAAGAAACGTACAGATCCAAATGTTAGTCCTTTTGGCAGCTATTCATCAACCTTTTCTTGAACAATTATAGGGACAGGAATTTAATACATTTCTTTCTATTCTAATGATTATTTCCCACCTATGTCCTCCAGTTTTTCTTACCTGGCAACATTAAAAAAATCTGAAGTTAGGGATTGCATCACCCTTTAAGTCTTTTTTTTCGGAGAGCAGGTATCTTCAGATTTTTTAAAGCATTCGACAGACATCATCTACTGTTCTTTCCAGATATTTCTCTTAAGAGAAACCCTTGTTTCTCTTCTCAGAATCTGCTTTAGTTTCTGTAGGAGACCTCCTTAAAGGCCCAGATTTAAATAGTTCAGATTGACTTTTTCACCATCCTTTCTGTGAACCGTGAGGCAGCCTAAAAATCAGTTTGAGTCTCTAGTTTGATTGTCATTCAGACAAAAATTTACATGTGTAGATTTTTTTATTTTTTTATAAAGTCTTTTTTTTTTTTTTTGGTACTAGGTATCAAACTCAGGTCCTTGCCCTTGAACCACTGAGCTAAATCCCCAGCCCTAAATTTTTTTAATCAGTTAAAGCATTTCCTTGATCACAAGTCTGAATTTTAAAATTGAGTCTGTTTAGTACAGTACAGTATCTGATTTAATGCTTAAGCAGTTGACAACTTATGTGGCTGCTAAGAATGTTTTTCCTTCTCTTGCATGGTTGTAGTCTTTAGATAAATGGAAAAAAAGTATTATGACAATGTTGATTCTCACAGATCTTAATTTTCTAACTATTCGTTCTTTGGGATCAATTAAAATAACCTATGTTAGTGCCCTTTATGAATACATTTGGTACTCTGATTTAAGCCAGACTTCAAGAAGAACTAGAGGGAAAATACATTTAAGTGTTCGTTTTATCTAATCAATAATATTGAAGATGTTTCTGGACTTGTGAAGAAAAGAGGATAACTGTGGATTGTAGTAGACAAGCTTCCTAGTTTTGTGAAAAATTAGGTGTTTGAACTCACCATGTAAAGGAATATGAATTTGATAGGTAAAAGGAAAGAGTTTCTCAGTCCAGAAGTTAAAAAGAGGCATAAAAGCAATATTCAGTCTGTATAAGCACTGTACTAGTAGGACTGTATGAACAGGACATTTGTTGAATTAAAATTATCCAGAGACAAGTAGTGGTCAAATTTTCAAATGCTTAGAACTTTAATTCAAGTTATGTGGAGATTTTTTGAGTAGTAGTATTATCTGCATGTGGAGGTAATAGAGGAAAAGAAGTTAAGATTATTGCCGGTTGCCAGCCTGGTAAGTACAAAAATTAATGTCAGCAGAAAGATCCAGGCATAACAGGAAAACCAATTTGAGGGAATCTGTCTTTGGCTATTGCAACTATGTTTTATGGCACAAAATACCAAATTTATTTAACGGTCCCCAGATGGAAAATGAACATCTACATAAGACTTCTTACTCTCAAATATCCCATGATTCTGATTTTAATGCTAAGCATTACTGAAAATGAGTATGCCCATTAACTCTTGAAGCAGATGTGCTATGTTTTATTCTTTGCTTACCTGGGTATCTTCCTAGTTTTTGTGTGTGTTGTTTGTTTGTTTTGTTCAAAGGAAGAAATGAGAAAGAAATCAGACATCTTAATTGTAACTTGGTAGAAGCAGTGTTCTACTCTGGCCATCCCTAACCCAGGTTTATCTATTTTCTGGTGCTATTCACTTAGCTAGTCCTTCTTGTTTTATTAAATGCATTTTTTAAAATATCTTCTGCTACTGTCAGAAATCCCTTAAAATCAAGAATTCTGTACTGTTTGTTTTCAAGGTTTTAAAATTTCCCCTAACACTTTATAATGAAGAATCAAATAAAACATGTATTTTCCCTGAGTTAACGTTCTTTTTGACAGTATAGTTCAGTCAGAATTTAGACAGGTATATATTAAAGTACTTTTTAAAAAATTGATTATTTGTGCTTTAATATGATTTAGAGAGCTAGTTAACCATTGGACCAGACTTATACACTTAGTTTATATGAGCTTATAGTTAGATATGCTATGACTATCCATAGAAAAGCCATTGTTTATTAGGTAAGACTTATTTCTAGGTTGCCAGTGCCATTAACAGAACAGGCTAGAGTGTGTCATGGTTTTCATATATGTTAGATCTCAAAAATTTGGAAACTATTCTAAATCTTCACTTATAAAATAATTAGATTTAAGATGCATAGCTGCATTCATAGTCTTTGATTAGAAAATGTGGTTTTTGTTTGCTTGAGTTTTTGTTTGATTTTGTATTGAGGAGCATAATGTAGATTTCATAGGAAGCAAAGGTCTAAAGGAGTAGGGGAAGTGGGAGGGGTAGGGAAAAAATATGAGAAAAGGAAAAAATGGAAACAAAGTCTTTGTAAATAGGGAAAGGTAGAGAGGGTGAAGGGAGGTCAGGGGAATGGGGAAAAAATAACCAAGATACATCAATCGTGTAAAGGTACAAGATCCTGATAATGAACATGACTATATTGTTTACCTAAAATGTACCAATAAACTTAATGAAAAATGTCGATCTCAATGGATTTAATATGAAAGGTTCATTGTATAAGCTATTTCCATGTTGGAACATGTTTTTTGATCTTTGCAAAACAATTTCAGGGGAATGGAAATGCATTGTAGAAGCTTGCTTTTATCCTTTTCATTTTGCGCTTTCGACGTTGAAATTTTATGTAGTGCTTTTCCTACCTGTTCATTGTAATTCATCCCATGGAATATTCTGAAGAGATTATTTTAAAAGGACTTTAACCTTTGCTTGATGGGTTAGCCATGGGACTATAAGAACTTTATACATGATTTTTGTTTTGACAGAATGCTATCTTTTTATATAAATGAATAAAATGAATCTCTTTAAAGATCCAATTCTTACCTTTTCCCATGCTAAAAAATGAACATAGGAATTCCAATTTTGAATGTAGATTTGAAGATTTTTTTGAAGGATATATCTTCATAAATATATAATTTCATGCCCCCATTGGTTTCTAAATCTCAAACTATGTGAAATAAGTTGGCTATTTTTACAGCTTTTTTTTTTAATGATGGCTTTCTCA